GGAAACGGCTGAACAGGGGATGCTCTGCCAGCCTGGATGGTTGGCACAGGGATGCATCGCAGGGGCACAGACCCAAAGCTGCCCTCCCAAATCAGCCTGCCCGGTTATCATACCCTGCCCGCAAGGATGCAACGTGGTCCATCTCTGCTAGGGGCTCTCCCCGTGCCAGATGCAACCAGGGGTGTTGGAGGGCTGGAGACAGGGCTTGTTCTTGCACCCGTCAACCACGTGCTGCTGCTCGCTGCGTTCCTAGAAACATCACTGAGCCACCATGGGGTCCCCCCACATCCCGGGCTGCAGCAGAGCATGGCATGGAGCTCTGCCGCCTTGCCGCTTCCAGCCTCCCCTTTCTCCCTTGGCCCATTCCCAGCAGGAGCTTTTCAGCAAGGCCAGTGCCCCAGGTTTTCACTTTAGGAGTTAGGGCAAAATAGAAAATGCCCAAACGACCTTCTTTCCACCAGAAGGATTTCATTAGATGAGGGAGTCCTAAACTTTTCCACCTCTCCCTATAAGGAAATCTCTATGGCTCCATAATCATTTTTATTAGGTTGTTTCTATTTCTGTTGTCTCCTTATTGAGAGGAGGGTCCAAAGCTGAGCAGTCCCCTGGGGATGCTGGATTGACTTCCATAACAGGGCCAAATGGCCTCAGTGCCATCTCCTCTCTCCCTGGCATCTTGTTTGCATTCCTGACCATCCGGGCACACATGTCTTCACTGAACTGCCCTCAGCAATGCCTACATGTTGTGCCTGATTTGAAAATCCAGCAAATCGATGGCATTTCCAACCCCTGCTTCCAGCGGGTACCACTTTGCACTGCTCTAGGCTGAGTCTTACCCGTGGTTTCCTCCAGCTGTAGCCACCCACATGGTTAAGCCATAGGCCACACTAGTCCTGACCCAAGGCCCATCTAGCTCCGGAGTCTCCAAAAGCATCTTCAGGAAATGTGTACAAACAGGAGATTCACAGATGGGTCTTTCTCCTACTCATTCCCTCCCAGCAAATCCTTCTGAAATCCCTCATAAGCTTTTTTAGTAGTGACTGATCCCTTATGGATGAGATCCAGGTTCTGCTGGTCAGATGTGACCACAGCACAGAATCCCTTTAGGATGGAGGTGAATCAGGTTTTAAAAATCAGTTTAACTTCTTGCCTCTCTTCTTGCAGACTTTCCAAAGACCAGATGCAACAAAGCAAGGGAATATTTTTTTTTTGCCAAGTTTTGGAGACTTATGTTGCTGAAAAGCAAAAAAGCAAAAAAGCAAAAAGCAAAAAAGCAGAAAAGCAGATAAGGAAAAAAAACAAAAGAAAGGAGAAAAGAGAAAGAGGAGAAAAGAGAAAGAGGAGAAAAGAGAAAGAGGAGAAAAGAGAAAGAGGAGAAAAGAGAAAGAGGAGAAAAGAGGAGAAAAGAAAGAGGAGAAAAGAGGAGAAAAGAAAGAGGAGAAAAGAGGAGAAAAGAAAGAGGAGAAAAGAGGAGAA